AGTTATATATATATATATATACTGTATATGGATAGATAATGCCCAAACATGGAGAATTCTTAGGATAGGGTAACCAATGGTAAGTATATCTGTATCAAACAAGAAAAGACAATGAACTGTTATTATACAAGATTTATACAGTATATAAATAAATCTGTATCAATGAAAAAACCCCACAATTAATTTATATAATATTGGTAATGGCTTAACAGTGCAACTTTAGCTATGAGCCAGAAAACGTTTGTTGCAAATATGGATTATTTTATTGAAAATATCACTTAACTTAGACAAAATCCTAGATAAGGTGGGTATGATCCAGAAGAAATCTTCAGACAGTACAAATTATGTAACTCAGTTACGAAATAGCCATGGATTTGTGTGTGTCAAGATTGGTTGCCAAAGAATGCATACTATATGTAGTCCTCCAAATAAACTGCTTCTCAATAAACACACAGTGTTCAAATTTGATGACAGAACTCCGAAAGTGGGCTTAGCACCTTTTTTTATTTAAGAGAATCTGTGTCAGATAATAAAATGTCAGGACATTAATCTTGAAATATTGGTAATTTCTGGGTCCTGCACATGTACAGGCTTGGAATATTTGGTGCCAGTTTTGATATATCCTAATTAAGAGATAGCATCTTCTTCTTTCTGTAAGATGTCATCTCTCTGATAATATGCACAGTAATCATAGCAATAGCATTTTTAGCCAATGGCTATTCCAATGTCAGATTTGCGATAATGAGACTTCTACAAGCACTCCTTAGTGACATATGAGTCAGTATATCATGTGACAGGATGCAGAGAGCATTGGGATAACTGATTCATAGAGAATTACCTAACTTTTGAACCTTTTCTATTGGTCTCCCAGCTACATAAATACTTGACATTACAAGCTTAACTTATTTTTTTTTGGTTTTTGGTGCACTTTTATTTTTCTCTTAGTAAGAGATCTGTGAATATGGAAATAGCAACACAGGGTTGTTCAATATAAAGTGCCTGTTTTAGGGGAGGCACTAGTTGCTTTTATTGGCTTTATATGTATGGTCTAACAATAGAATGTTTTCCCCTGCATTTATATGTTTTGCATAGCTATAATATAATGCTCATCATTTAGTTTATCTTTTTAGATAAATTGTTTTTGCAAGTTCATCTAAAATATTCATAGGAAACAGAGGAACTTCTGCTTCTGTGAGATTATCCTCGTAGTTTTGCTGTGTTCATTATATGTTGTTGAGCTTTTGTGTGTGACTTTTTGGCACAAAATGTGTACCAAACATTTGGTTTGTGGCATCATCATGTAACCTTGTTTGGCTACTCAACGCAATGAAGCTATGCTGTAAATGTCTCTGAAATGACATTGAAGGATCATTAAAACAAGATTGTGTATTTTCACAGACAGATTAACCATGGCTATGTGTAATGGTCTGTATCATGCAAATTGGTTTGTTCTGTTGTAAACATCACAATGTGGAAGTGTCTTGTTAATTCATGAGTTATGTGTCATTTATGCGTTAAGGAATATGCCAAAAGCATTTAGCAGTAATCTAGGACATATTTATCTGTGTGAAATCCATGAATGGGTAAGCACCACTCAACATGTATGCAGCAGCAGTGTGTGTGTGGTTCATTTGGTACAGCTGCATTTGGAACATTGCCAGTGGCCTGGATTTAAAGCTGTTGTATGTTGCTATCTGTGGAACATATGAACACCCGCCTCGCTATTTATATAATTTTGAGGTTACAGAAATGTGGCTTGAAGTTTTAGGAAAAGAACATTCCCCCGAAGAATTAAATCACTTTGTAACTCAATTAAATAATGAGAGAACATATTTATATATTTAAAGAAATTAAGCCATCTTGTCTTGAATTGTATTGTGATTGTAATGTCTTCCTTATATTGTAAAGCGATGCGCAAACTGTTGGTGCTATATAAATCCTGTAAAATAATAATAATAACATCGCTTTAAAATAATAATAATAAGCCAAGTACATTTTATGTACAACACAGTGCAAAATCTGAGAATAATATCATCATAATTTGTTAACATAAGAGTTACTTTGTAATTGCAATATATTTTCAACCAGTTTCATAGCATAATGATTTTGATCAGGCTTTTGGAAAGTGGAGCTTTAAATAGTGGTATCTATTAAATTTTTTGCCCATTTATAAATACAATTAAAATATAAAAAAAAATGCATCCAATGAGCAATGTCAGCTCTGTTTAATTAGTATATATGTGTGTGAAGATCCATAGTTGAAGAGATACACCTATAAACCTCTGCCGAATCGGAAAAAATAAATTCCAGCTTACAGATGCTATGTCTTGTGGGAGTACTGCAGGTGCAGGGTGTACAACTGCAAAGGCTGCATGGGGGGGTGGGGGTGAGCTACAATCCTCTCTCCAGCACTGGTGGGGCTCCGGGGGGTCTACAGTTAAGTCCTTGACTGTTCAGTAAGAAAAAGCCT